ATTGTAAAACATAAAGCTTTACGCATACATATAAATATGTACATAACTATTAAGTTGCGAAGTTTTGCTCCTACTCAAGTTGGTCTGTTTGTATTTATATGTCTATATATGTATAGTTGTTACATATATATAGTTAATTTATATTTTTTTTTGTTTAATCATTATAGATTTTTATTTTACACTGGTGTTTGACTAAGCACAGTAAGTATGTGCGTTCGTGGAATTTTTGATGTATGTATGTATGTATGCATGTATGAAATAGTAGTGTTGAAATAGTATGTTGGGTAGAGATGTCTGCCACCGCAGCACTAGGCAGGCAGCGTTGAGTCTTCATTCATCGATTGTGAATATCGCCTGCGCTGGTGGCAATCCAAAGCTGTAATGGATGCTCCAAACTTGCTATTGAAATACAAATTTATATGGCTGTTGTTTTTGTTACGTATGTATGCAACTGTGTTGCAGAGTCGTCTTATGTAGCACTTTGTAGTGAACACACACTACAATTTTAAAAATTGTTTATTATTATTATTTTTTTTTTTTTTTTTTATTTAGTATTACTTAATGTTTTCAATTTTAAACTTAATTTTTGTTTAATTTTATTTTATTTTGTATATGTGTAGGCAGTTTTATTTAGTCCAGACTTTCCTTTGTAGAGGACTTTTTTGTCTATATTTAACAACTACTTGTATTTATTTATTTTTTTTTTACTTCGTAAATTTTTTCTTTATAATTTTTTTTTTTTTTACAACAGTATACGTTAGTTTAACTCTTCTTCTTCGGATTACGTGCGACTGCAGACAATTTTCTATTTTTGTAATTTTTTGTTCTTTTTTTTATTTTTTCCTTCATTATATAAAATAGGTTATGTACAAGTACATTCAAGCCGTGGTTTGGTGCTATAAAAGTGAATTTAATTTATTTTCTTATTTCAGGTGTGTGTGTGTGTGTGTATGTGCGTGCAATGAGTTGAAATAAAGTTTTTGGTTAGCGAATTGTTGCTTCTTTTATATTAGGATTGCATTAGCTAATTAGCTGTTTATATACATATTTAGTATGTAGTAGGTATGATATAGGGTGTTTACACACAAACTTACACATACTCATTGTCAGTTGGTTGTAAAGTAATTGGTTTAGTACTGTCGCTAGCAGTATTTGTAAATTGCATACGTACATATACATACATATATGAGAATAGGTATACATACATATGTATGTATTTACTTTTTTCGATTTTTTTTTTTTGTTCTTTCTTTAGTTTGCAAATTTCAACACGTAAATATTACGAGTATATAGGGATATTGTTCATTTGCGCTTGGGGTAAACATACAAATACATACATATATAGGTTAGGGGTTAGGGAGGGTATGTAGACTTTCATAATAGGTATTTATGTAACTAGACTAACATGTGTGCTGTTTATTAAGTCATAACTTACTGCATATACATAGTTGATATCAATTTATTATTAGTCAACGCTTTAATGTGTCTTTTTGTTTTTGTTTCTTAACTTTTTCGGCTCAAAGTTTTACTATTCGATTTATTCGGTTAAGAATTTTCAATTTATTTTTTTTTAAGAGTGAGTCTGCCTCGTTGCCGTATATGGCACCTTATGTGTGTGTGTGTGTGTGTGTCTGTGTAATTGTGTAAATGTGTAAAGGAGCGGCGTGCGCGTGCGCAGTTTGTAATTTTCCAATCGCTTTATTTGCTTTAAATGTAAAAAAAAATATTAAAGCAAAACACATTTGACTAAAAAATTAAATATTTACTTAATCACACAAAACTAAATTAAACTAAGCTTATTATCTCTACACATATACATACACATGTGCAAGTATGCACACGCATAATTATATACTATTCGCAACTCTAACATCAATGTGCGTTGTTGTGCTTTCGATTTGTTGCTAAATTTTATGACTTGTCTTTTTTAATTAATTTCAAAAAATTTGGCAAAAAGTTTTGGAAGCGCTAAAGTGTTTGTAATGTAGTTTTTTTGTTTTGTTTTTCTTCATCTAATTGCTTAAAGTAAGTAGTTGTTGGACCTAACATAGCTTCCTTAATAATTTAAAGCAAAAAAAAAAACCAATAAAAAATCAAGACGAAAAAAGATTTATGTATATAAAATTTTTGTGGCTGTATTTTTGGTGACTAGTGCAATTGTACAAGCGCATTTTGTGGCTAGAATTTGAAATTTCAGATAACAAAAATATATCAATTTATCAAAAATTCATACCAAAAATTATTAAATTTTAATTAGTTTTGTATAAAAAGTATAGTTTATTCTCTAACAAAAACAAATTTTTTTTTTTAAATTTCGAGCTTTATAATTACATTTCTATAAAAAATTCTGAGTATGCCATTTGGTAGCCCTTCCATTTGAACATAAAGTAGCGAGGGCTTACCCTTGATTTTGCTCATTTTTTTAATATAAAATATCGTCCAACATATCACACGTTTAATAACATACAGAATTATTTCTTAATTTAAATTTTTTGAGAAAACGCAATCAAAGTTTGATCAACTCGTACAGTTGGTATACAAAAAGACAGATGGAAAGCATATCTTCGCTATTTTTGAGAAGTTTAGTCATCTGTTAGACTGAACATATTCTCCTTATTAAGCTTTTTAATTGCAAGCGTAAATTTTAAATTATTTCTATATATTATTAACACACAAAATATTTCTATTAAATCTAATTAAAAACCTCCAAATTTTTATTTATATTAACAATAGTTTTTCATAAAAAACGGTCTCAAGCTCAAAAAAAATTGTTTTATATTGCACAAAGTTTAAAACTGGGATTTAAAAGATTTTTGTTAGAGAGTAAACTATATTTTTATGTTTATATAAAAATTAACTAAAATTAAATAACAAAAAAATTGTTTGTTAAAACTTTTCAATATGTGGTGAGTTTATAATTATGACACGGAGTGTAGTTACGTATATCATGGACATTATGTCCTATACACTGAATGTATACGTGAACAATCCATATAATTAGGCGCCATAGAGTCTCAGTACCACATAAGCTCTAAATGCGATTTTGAATCCAACTCCTTAAGATTAGGTAACCTTAACCTAGGCTCGTCGGCGACTATGCTGATGCTTGGCAGTACCGACTATTCTATACTCTCACACACATTTGGGATAGGAAATACAAAGCTGTGATAGGTAACGAAGACCTCCACATATCCAAGGTTTTTCTTGTAACTGTAACTTTTTTTGAAATCGTTTCAGTAATGTTGTATTTACATATTTTAGAGCTTAGCTGAATGAGTAATTTTATAAACAAACCATTTGGGGTTTATATAAACGCAGAAATTGAGTGGTACATAGCAAAAGTTCAGTGTCAGGCAGTGCTGAAAGCTTCAGGCTGACACATAGACATTGCAGAGTTTTTTTATTAATTAAATTTTGGAACAAATGTCACAGCATTATAGAATTGAACTCACCAGCATTATGAGTGGAAACAACAAAGCTGATGAATTGGCAAGGAAAGGAAGTACGTGGTAACCTCGACTGTCTTTAAACAGTAGGAACATACTTTCACCCGGTAGAGCAATAATTAGCTGCGACGCTGTACAGAAAACAACTGTACTTCCTGATAAAACTCTTAATTGGTACACATAGTTGCGAGCGCATTGAAGAACTATTCAAACCAATTTTTAACGCCTTCCAGATAGTATATAATATGATTAGAATGAAAGCTTTGGTAAAGTTCAATGCGTCAACCATGCGCTTTGCACCAGAGTGAGCTTTCTAACATCGAAGGGAATTGGGATCTCAATAAGGTATACCCTCCAACCATTACAATGTAAACTATCCTAATACCAATAGCTCATGAGTCAAAATGGAAAAAATTCTTTAGAATAAGCTGTGCCCATTTGGAAAATTTTACTTGCACCAGAATTATGTTTTGTGATGAAACTGGTAGTAGCAAAGATATGCCAGAATCTAGCCTTTAAACATCGGTGGTCGAGGTCTTGGTTTTAGTTTTCCCCTTTAAAGGGATACATAACCTGAAACAGAGCGAAATTTACTTTTTAAGTTTTCGAAAGCAGTCACTAAAGAAATATACCAAAATAAAAAACCTTCACTATCTTAAAATCTAGGTGAAAGCTCTTGAATATCCAAAACCGCACTTTTTGTACTTCCCCCAGTAATGTCCTTAAATTTACAGATTCCTCGTCAAATTCTTGTTTTTTAAGCAACAAAAGTTTAATGAAGTCTGGCTCCTTCTAGTCTTTTCAATGAAGAACTCTTTATCTAACAAAATCAGGTCCCTACTAATGCTTGAACATAAAAAGTTTTAAGTGAAAAAATATGGCATTCCCTCACGACAAAGAATTACACTGAACATGGCTAGCGCCGAAACTTGTATGTCTTCAAAAGAAAATTGACAAGGTATGACGGAATTTCATGTCAAAATCCACCGGAAGCATCAGCAAGCCGAAGTTGTTATTTTTAGGTTAAAGTGCCATCGCATCACGCTTCTCACTACTGTACTTTTATTGGCGCTGCCTGTGTATGCGTGTATCGTGTAACTTTACTAATTTTCAAAGTCCTGCCCAATATTATTTTAACTACACTTCTCTTAATTTTAACGTTTTTCGCTGACAAATTATTAGGTTCTAATTCATTATATTTCATTCAAATACTCTGCTCTACACTCGCTTATTTATTGCTGTTAATATTTTTTGAGCTTATACGACTTACTAAATCATAACGATTTTTGTTTTGTTTAGTTGTTTTTTTAGCGTTCCACTTAACGTTGTGTTATTTGCCTATAAAGTATAGTTTAATCTTAGATGATTTTTTATTTTTTTTTTTCAGTGTAATTGCCTGCTATGGCGCACACCAGCAGCACTCTCGTGCTCTCATTTAGACTTGAACTCATTTTTATTTTGATTTTATTTCCGAAGTTTTTCAACTTAAGCTGTTTGTTCACTATTTTTTTTTCTGCTTAGTATAAATAATTTTTAGTTAATTTTCGTCGTTTCTCTGCTGATTTTCCTAATACATAAACATACTTATGCTTGTGTTTTTTTTTTTGTTTTTTTTTAATCTTCTAGTGCGTGTGAGTATTCATATAATAATTATGCTAATTTTTTTTGTCTACATATAGTGTATTTGCTTAATATATAAACTTAATTAATTTAGTGCGATTCGCCTGGCTGCTGTACTCCCCTGGCTCGTCCTGTCTTCGACATGACTTCGCCTCAACCGGTACACGCCTAGCGTGACACAGCACTTCCTCTGTTCTGTGCTGCCTTTTCTTGTATGCTTTACGCTTTTCTGCTCGGCGGCGTTTCTCATCTTACTTCTCCTCGCCCAGCAACACCAGATCGTCGGCAACCACGTCGCTGACATGCAAGTAAATGATCCAATACATCAGATTGAAGCAAACGAAACACACGGGGAACACTATGCGCGAATATTTGTCAATGTCTGATGGCGTTATGCCCAGCAGCTTGTTTATATCCTGTGTGTTGTAACAAATTTTGTAAATTATAGGAAAAATTAAAAAGTTAAAAAAGCGACGAATAAAGAGAGAGAGAAAAAAACAATCGATTAGTATGATCACAAAATTCTCGCGGTGTATATGTTTGGGCTGGAAATTACTTTTTTTACCTTGCCCGGGTGTAATAAATGGGATGGTACAGCCGCTTCGGCGTCCCCACCTTCGGGCGCTCCACCTCCGCCGCCGCCGCCACCGCCACCGCCACCACCTCCTCCGCCCCCGCCGCCGCCACCGCCTCCACCTCCGCCACCGCCACCTTGGGGTCCGGGTCCGGGTGGGCCAACCGGCGGTCCGCCACGTCCACCGTTCACAGTATTCTCTAGCGTGCCGCCTTTGGAATGGGCCTTCGGATCGTGCACCTTGAATCTCACCTCCTGGAACAAGGGTCCCACTATCGAGCAACCGCGCGAACCAACGTTTTGTTGCATATTTGAATAGCCAATTGGTCGGTTACTCACTGTTTGTTTTGGCGCATGAGGATGACCATGGCTGTGGCCATGACCATGCCCATGTCCATGATCGCCCGCACTCGGATTGGGATTGGGCGGTGGTTGCGCCCCATCCATTTGTTGCTGCTTTTTTTGCTCAGCTATTTTTTGGATCGCCATAAATCTTTGTTTTCGCATTTGAATTCGTTTTGCCATATAGCCGACGGTGGCGTATTCTATAGATTTATTTTGTTTTACAATTAAAAATTTCAAATTTTTTTTTTTTTTGTTTTTTTGTTTTTTTAGTTTTTTAATTCAAATTATGTATCGATCAAAATTATCGATCAGTTCAATCATTGTGAATTAGTCATTTATAGAAATCAATTAAGTTTATTAAGTATCAATTGTTGAATGAAATGTTTGGTTGGTTGGTAGATAAGCAAGCAATTGGAATTGGTTTCAAATTTGGACATCGAATTGGGAATATAATTTTGGCGTATTTCGATTCGAAATTCATATTTGGAGATAATAATAAACGCAATGTGGTTTTTTATTGTCCAATTGTGTTTCATTTTCGGAATGTGCGGGGTAGCAGGAAAATAGAATGAGAAAATAGAAAAATAGAATATTAAATAACATAAAATAATAAAAAAAAATTTTATTAGCTAATTGTGCAAAAAATAAAAAAGCACATCAAAAAATAAAAAAGTATTTCTGTAAATACAATGCGGACAATATTCTTGAATACACCTACATTGAGGAAAAGAAAGTGCAGAGAGTGAAAAAATTGTATGGAAAGGTGGAAGGAAATTTGTTTGAAAAGGCAGTGTTAGCATTTTGGATTAAAGTGATGAGACTTTGAGCATAGATTTTCTGTTCGAAAGCATTTAAAATATATACAAATATAAATTTTTTCTTACAGATTTTTCTATTAAATTTTAATTTGATACCCTTCTTTTCTTATTTAATTAATGTTGCAATGCAATTTTATTTTTATATAAACTTCAAATTATTTTTTTTATATGTTTTTATATATTTTATGTTTTTATCCAATTATACTTTATTTTATTTTATTTTAATTTATTGTATTTAATTTTTGTCTTACTTTTATCATTTTTGTGTGTTTATATTACTTATCTATTTATTTATGGTTTTATCTATTTAGTTGTGGTTCTTTATTTCATTTTATATTATTTTTTGGTGTAGTTTAATTGATTTAATTTTATTTTATGTCAATTTATTATATTGATTTTTTTGTTCGTTTTATTTTATTAAATTAAATTATTTATTTTCCTTTACTCATTTTTTGTGTTTATTTATTTGTTATTTGTTATTTGTTTTACTTCATTATGTATTTAGGTTTTTTAATTCAGCTATTTAATTTTATATTCTGGTTTTTGTTTTATTTTATATTAGTTTTCATTATTTCATTATGCTGTTTTTTATTCTGATATTTTATTTTATTTAAAAAATGTTATTTAATTTATTATTTGCTGTTTTTATTTCATTTTATTTTTTGTTTTATTTTAGTTTGTTTTATTTTATTGTATGTTAATTTAATTCAATAATTTTTTTTAATTCCTTTATTTTTTATTTTACTTCACTTATTTTTATTTTTTATTAATTTATTTCCGTATTTTACTTTTTTATATTAAATTTCCGTCTTTTTTTTTAATTAATCTATTATTTTTTAATCTGTTCTTTAGTTTACTTAATTTTTTTATTTGCTTATATTTTATGTTATTTGATTTTGTTTTTTTTTAATAATTTATTTTATTTTGCTTTATTTTTTTCATTTTATTTTATTTAAAATACTTAAATAAATTTTTTTTTCTATTTTATTTTTATTTTTGCTTTATGTAATTTCGTTTTATTTTATAAAATTTTTTATTTTTGTAAATTTTTATGCATCTACAGACTTATTTTATTTCATTGAGGTTATTTACTCTTGCCTGGTTATCAGGTTATCTAGATAAAAATTATTAAAGTGTAGTGTTTTTTATTGTTGTGAACTGAATAAAAAAGATAACCACATAAGCTGATAACCAAGCAAGCGTGAACAACATCACTACTTTAACCCACCTCAAAGAAAGGAATAGATACGTGGTGCATATTTTTTATGTTAACATTTTTCTTATCATTAATTTTCAAATAATTAATTTTTAATTTTTTGTATTATATCTTTTTATATTTTTATTTGTCTTGTTTTTTTTTATATTTTGTGTCCAATAGTTTTAATTATTTATCTTATTTTATTTATTTCATTTCATTTTATTTCACACTAATACTATTTTGTACAAAAAAAAATCTCATCGCTTTAGAAAATATTACAAGGGCAGTGCTTAGCTACGAAATTGTATGAATACAAATACTAAAGCAAAGTTATCGACATTCTAATGCACAAATTAAAAATAAAATATAAATCCATAAAAGAAAACATTGCATATTTTATATAAAATAATCCTAAAAAAGTAATTGTTTTGTAAAAATGTGTAATGCAAAAGGAAATTAGAAAAATTGCGTAAAGCTAGATAGATTTTTAAGTCAAAATTTAAATAACTTTACATAAGAAAAATTTATTATAAAATATGAAGTTTTTTTTAACAAACAAGAAAATTGTTTCGGTTAAGTTTTAAATAATTTTTCTGCTCTTCATTTGGAATACTATCATTTAAAGAAAATTCTTTAGAATGTTCACTGAGCTTCTGTTCTCCTCTCTTCTTCTTGCTCAGCCAATATTCCAGTCAAAATGTGAATTGATCGAACAGGCACTTTTGTAATGTGACGTAAAGCGGAAGTGATCTCAATAAACACAAAGCTAAAATTTTTATTATAAATGAGTTAAAAATAAATTATGGGAAAGTAGCCTAAGGTTGTTATTTATTTGCTGAGATTATAATTGAAATAAATATTAATATACATAGTTATTCAATGCTTTTAGTATTTCATACTTTTTAATTATTTTATTTTATTTGACGCAGTCAATGTTTTAGGCGTTGAGTTGGATAAATTTTTTTTTAGTTTTTCATTAATAAAAAAATTCGAAAAAATAGATTCCATTGTTAGCCTATTATCAGACTAGCTTAAAAGATGCGGACATCTGAATTTCATATTGAAAGTTTTATAGATATACAGCCTTGAAAATTTGTTTGTTGTTATATTGCAAATGTGTTTTGATAATGAAAATTTTCAAGAAACAAATGGTCCCACTCGTTGAATTTTTGGCAAAGTTATGGCCATTCATCAAAGAAACGTTGATTCTTAAGAAATCGATATCTCGAAAACGGCTGAACAAAAAATTAAAAAAATAAAGTAGGCCCTCTCGATTGATACCATTTGTAATATGAAAAATTTCGAAAAAAATCGGAGATGCAAAAGCCAAATGGTGTCCGAATCGGGCTGGAATACCCCGTATAAATATAAAGGATAGGATGAAATTATGTTCTGATTGCAAAATACTTACCTTATCACTGTGCTATGACATAGATTTGTACTCCGATTTTCCTAAAATTTTCTTATATGAAATAATAATAATATACCCTAAATAAATTTTCTTATATGAAATAATAATAATATACCCTACAAATGTGAATGCTGTTATTTATGTTTTGTAAAAGGATTTTCTGTATTGTCGTTTATTATTTACATGCATATCAGAGCCTTGCACGATTTCGCAAAATTTTATAAATATAAATGGCATTGTGAAAGTAATAGGATGAACGAATAGTAAAGAATAACAAAGATATAGAAAATTTTTTTCAGATATTTTCGCTGTTAGCATCGTAGAGGTTGACAATTTCTAGCATATTTTCTAGTTTTCAGTTAAACTGAAGTTGTGGTTTGATTATTGTTTGTAGCCTACAAAAAATACTTTGCCAACGCTCATCAATAAAAATTGTATTATGTTGTTTATTTGTCATTGGTAAACTTTAGAGATATACAGGGCAATTCTGGCGGCTCTCTTGAAAGCTCTTTACTATCTTTCGAAAGACTAACTGAAATTTTTACTAACAATAAGGTTTCAGCGTAATTCTGTTTGTCTTTTCAAACAAAAATATATATTTTTCTTTTTAAAACAATAAAATCTTAAAATGCAAAAAAAAGATTAATTAGATAATTAGAAAAAAACCGAATTAAAAAGCTTAAAAGAGATCTAAACAATTTTTAAAATTAAAAGAAATCAGAAAAAAAATTATTTTCAATAAAATCTATATAATAAAAAAAATAAATTTAAGAAAATTATTTTGCTGCAACAATAAAATCTGAACATAAAAAACAAACATAATAAACAAAAAAAAATAAATCAAAAAAAGAGAAAAAATAAATAAATAAAACAAGTAAAGAAGTATATGTAACTTCGGCCGAAACCGAACTTTATACATATGTATACCCGGCACAGGTATCAAACTAAGGATCGAACTACCTTTGCATGAACGCGTTTTCAAACGTTTTCGGTAATATCCTCGGTTAGACTTAATAAAATAGTTGAACCAAATTTGGTAGAAATCGATAAAGTAGGATTACCGAGATACACCTTTGTAGCCAAGGTTATTAAGTGCGCCGAGTTTGGTAGAAATTGGCAAATCTGTTACCGAGATATAAGAAGGCGGATTCACGCCCATTATCCAAAAATTTATAGTAATCTCGTTTTCTGCTAAGTTACTGGTTTCGTGTTTATGTAAATTACCATTATATGGGAAATGTTCGTGGTTATTGCCCGATTTCAAATATTTTTAACAAATTTCTTAGCTGACCCCTGCGCAAGACTTGTACCGAGATTGGTAAGGATTGGGGAAAATTTCATAACAATATTATAATTTACCAAAATTCTACTTCACACGGCTTTGTCGACCACTCTATTCATTCTGAGCATTTATGTATACATTTGTCTATATCTATCTATATGCCTTTAGGCTAGCACAAACAACCGCTATGCGAATTAAGTTGTAGATACCCCTGTGCACAAGTACTCTAGCGTATAAAAATAAGTTCCTAAACATTACATAAATGAAATTAAAAAAACGAAATCTAAAAATGAAAATTTAAAACAAATAAAGTGGGTCTCAAAAAATTCAGTGAAATTAAGCGAAGGGTTTTTCATTTTAAACAATAAAATCTAAAAATAAAAAGGAAAAATATCAATTAAAATAAAAGAAAAAATATAGCACGTTCCTAAAAATTTTATAAAAAAAAAAAATATTTTACTTTTTAAAACAATACAAGCTCTTGATCAAAACAAAATTATTTTACGAAAAGAAACAAATTATCAAAAAAAATGCTTTCCTAAAAATTAAATAAAATTAAAAACAAATATCGTTTTCTGTTTAAAACAATTAAATCTAAGAAAAGAAATTAAGAAAATATATGTATTTTTCTTTTTCGAACAATGAAGTCTAATAATTAAAAGAAAACAAAATTAAAAAAGGAAAAATAAATAAAATAGAAAAGTAAAATAAAAATTAGCGAGTGTGCTTTTTTCTAAAGCGTTTGTGCTAGAATAACAAAAGTCCTTCGAACTATCTCGCCTTCTGTCTTCATTTGTCTGACGAAAGACGTTTTAAATACTATCTTAGCCTGAATTGCCCTGTTAGCTCTGCGTGTGCCACTAATGAGGGGCATGCGAAAATTCTAACGAGCTTTAAGCTCAGCCCAGCCTAGTAAAACAATTAAAATGTCGCAGCATGAAGATGCCTATTGAACAAAAACTTTCATCTATCCTAAACTCAATAAGAAAATCTCAAAAATTTTGCTGAAAATAATCATTTTATTTTTAATTCACCACTAACGCCTTCTCAATTATATTCCGAATACCGCAACTACATATTTGCATTGCACTTACCTTAAAATCTGCTTCTGTGTCACATCACTTGGAACCTGCAAAACAATACTTGTTAGTAGATCAGCTACATTTTCTGCATGGAATATTCCAAAAAAAAGGAACCGGAAGCTTTTCGATGTCATGAATTGACACGCGATGAAGCATCATCAATTCTTAACGCAGAAAAGCTTCCCACAAATGCAACAGTTCGCGTAGAAATGCTGATGGGTGTCGAGCGCATCGTTTTACGATTGATCGCCGTTCAGGTGCATATTTACATTGACGTGTAGGTACGTACGTACGTAAATGGCTTTTTGCTCACTTTTTGACGCTTAACTTTATCTATGTATGTAAATATTTTGCATTTGCTGTACAACTGTTGTTCAACTGAAGCTGGGCGTATATTAATATCAGGGTACCATTGAGGTGGTTGCTGGTGTGGGTAATTATTTTTTGTATTAGCAGTGCCGTTGGGTTTGATAAGATTTTTTTGATGCTATAGAATCAGCTGCTTATATACATATATGCATTTGTAGTAGTGGTCTTTGCGTTCATGTGTGCTTATGTGCTATTGGAAAATTGGTTCTTGCACTCTTTTGTACTCATTTTATATACTTATTTATATTTATATACGAGTTTATTCGTATTTATAGGTGATTTAAATTTATTGCGTGAGTTATGAGTAAAATAAAATAAAAATAAATAATATTTTTTTTTTTATGTGACTGGATGATTGTTGAGTGATTAGTTGAAATGCGTGATATTTGGTGCTTCAATGCTGAATGGTGTTAGGATGCTTTAGGTCACTTTACGTTCACATTACTGTGGGAAGCGCGTATCGATAAATCGGCATTTATTTTCTTTCTAAATGATAATATTAGCAATTCAATGTAAAGTTTTCATTGAAAATTAACAAGAACATACAAATACGAAAAAAGAGATTTGTTTATATTTTTCTTTCTTTTTTTTCTTGGTTCTGGTTTGGATTGTTTTTGTTCGTTTAGTTTTGTGGGAACTGTAGTGGTTTTCTCTTGTTTGGGATGGTGTTGCATAGTTAATAAAATTATTCTTCTCTTTTAATTGCATTATCTGCTACGAAATTTGTGTTGTAAATATGTACATTTAAGAAAAATATGTTTGTTTGAAGATATAATAAATTAGTAGGTAGATATTTAAGTAGCATAAAAGTGAGTATCTTTTTTAATAATGTAGCATGATTTTTTTTTTTTTATTGGTGAATAAAAGTTTGAAAAATGTGGAGAAGGGCAGAAAGCATACATAAAAAATAGTTGAAATTTTTAGTTATTTTACAAGTGATGAATTTATTGTGAAAATAAAAATAACATCAATAGATTTTGTTTGGAAAAAATAAAAATAAAAAATATTTAAATTAAAAATTTTACATTTGTGTTTATTAAAAAATTGTTAAAAATTGGTATGCTTTGGTATCCTTTTGGTCACAGAACAAATCAAGTTCAAAGTGCTTGCTGTTTAAAATTTTACCCGAGTTGAAATTTCCGTGATCTTTGTGAAAGTTCGACGAGGGCGGCCTTGATTACAGTATATACATAGGTATGGCATTAACTCTGATAGGAGTAGTATTGTATTTTTCGCTTTTATTATAAATTATTGATTACAACCACTCTCGTTAAATTTTATTATATTATATAATTATGATTGTCCTTTTAATTTCAGTATAGGTATCGTTATTCCAAAATTAGTAATATTTTTATCGTTAGCTTTGCGCTTATCGATGTCGATATTTTTGCAACTACCATTATTGTCACCGTTAAAATTTTCAACATATTCTTTTGTACCTTTTGTTTTCGATATTCACATATATCATTAACAATATTATAATTATTATTACCGTTGTCATTGTCGATTTTGCCACTTTTATTGTTGTTGTTTGTTATCGTTATCAATTTTTAATCGGTTACTCACAATTTTTTTTTATCGTTAAAATTATCTTGAAATTTTTAAATCGTCATCGATATTTTTATTTCTTGCATTTTCGACAGTTATAATTTCCATAATATCTCTTGTTGTCGTTATCTATATTTTTTATTTCTGAAATTTTCAACAGTCATAATTGTCAGCACATTTCTTATTATCATTATATCATAACTTTTATATACGTATTAGTTATTAGGTACCGTTTTGGAATTTTTTTTTTATAACATTTTTTTGGTTATCGATTTTTTACTATTGCCCTTTTTGACAGTCATATTTTAATATCGATATCATAAACTCGACATTTTCTTAAAGTTGTCAATATTTCAATGCATTTGTCTTATTTTTTTATTTATTTTTTAATGTATTATCAGACTACCTGTTTATAATATTAGAATTATCTTAGTATTTTTTTTTCATTTTTAATATTTATTCCATTATCGAAAGTATAATTATTATCGCTGCCTATTATGCTGCTTATTATATTTTATATAATTATAGTTATCGTTGTCTTTATCCCTCATTAAATCGATATTGGTCTCCGTACTCTTAAACATAGTTATCGCTTTCATCATTTCTTCAAACTTATAATTTTTGTTATCTTTTTGGCATAATTATCATTCCGTTTTCGTTATTGTTATTATTATCGTTTTCGTAATAGTTATTGCTACCCTTACTATTATCGATACCAATACTGCTACCGACATCAGCGGGCTTTGTTCGCTGCTTACTTTGCAAATAGCTGTGTAACATTTCACAGTGCCAAAGTTTTTGTTAACCGACGTTTTTTTTTATTTGGATATTTCAGAAGTAAGAGTATATTTCCCTTATTATTTTTATTTTCGACATTTCATATCAGCCCTTTGGCTGAGTACCGTATCTAGCTGATGTTAGGTAAGAACTTAAAATGATCGTACCGCACCAAAAGTATACCAAAAAAAAAAATTTTAATAGCATAGTTTATAAATCGCTTCTCTCTTCAATTGAGTTATATAAACAAATATAAAATAAATAATTTAAAAAAAATATTTGGTCTCAAACTTTGGCATTTTTTCCTGTTTTCCAAATTTTGCATTATCTTTTAACGAGTATGTGATTTTAACAAAACAAAAGTATGTGTACATATTTATGTAATTCAAAAAAAAATAAAACATAACAAAAAAAAGACACTAAGTATTTAAATATTATGAACAACATTGAGAACACTTAAGTATTGTATGTATGTACGTTTGTTATGTGACATAATTTTAAATGTATGCATTTGTTTCTGTTGTTAGTTTACCCAAAAGACTGGCAAAGACCATAACGAAGCATGTTCCTAGATAAACGTCAATCGATTTGACATATGAAATCTTTGGCAATGCTGCATTTGTTGACGACATCAGTGTGGTCATTGTCAACACGGTGGTAACACCGAGCGCCACACGAGCCGGTGTGGCATTACGATTTAGCCAAAATGATACCCATGATATAATAACGATCAGTCCAGAGGGTATATAAATTTGGATGAGATAGTAACCCATCGAGCGTACGAATTGTATCTCACAAGCGAGACGCGAATAATTTCCTGTTGCCAATTTGAGGGGGGCGAGCGTAGCGCGTTGCAAGTGTAGCACGTGTGGGGTACGTAGTACGTGGTACGTTGTACGTTGAACACAGCGGGCGCGCATGAAGAGAAAGAAAAATATATTAGTAATCTGGTTTTGCATAACAGCTTTTGTTGTTGTTTTTTTATTCATAACTTTGCAAAATACTATGGAAATTATTTGATATGAACGAAAAATGATTAATTTACTGTGGAAATATTGCATATCACATTGTTAGTAGTAAGTAGGAAGTAGTTTATTCAAATAATAGGAAATAACATTTCAGGGAACTAAGAAAAATTCAGTGTAATTAATCAAATAGTACAACGAAAAGTTTTATTTTTCTTTTTTTTAATTAATATGTATGTTAATACTTAGATACTTGCATAAAATGTATCAACAGAAAAGAGAAGAAAACTTCTTCTTCGCACTAATACAAGAATTTTTTTCAAACAAATACATATTTACTTATTGAAAAGAAGCGAGTGAAAGAGAGAACTTTCGAATGGCAAAAATTTTAGCGAGATTTCGTTGCACGTTATTTACGCTTACATTTTTTTGCATGTAAAATTATTTATTCATTCGGAATTTGTTTCTAAATACTGAGTCTATGACTTTTAAGCTACGCATGATATAAATATCAAATATACGTATGTACATTAGGGTGCCTCACAAAAAAAGTTACTGTTTTCTCCCGAATTAAAAAAAAATGTATATTATATTCTACGACTTCCGCCAAAATTTTTCAGAAAAACATTAATATTTACCTGAGCTAGACCGATTTGAAAATACCTGCAAAAATCTCTTTACTTTGATTCCGTTGATAAAGTTGTAAAACATTTTTTGCACACTTTGTAAGCGTAAACTCTTCTACAATCTGAGGTGATTTCTTTGCAAAAAAAAATTTTGGAAAAACTAACTATTTTTATAAAAAAATTAGTTTTTTTAGCTATTTTTAATTCGGTGCAACTTACTTGAATCTTATATTTTTTCCGAAATATTTTGGCGGCTGTCTTATAATAAAATAAATATAATAAAAATATAAATTTCCGGTGGAAAAAAGTACCGATCCTTTTTTTTTTTAAAGAGTGTGCAGCCTAATGTACATGGCAAACCACATGTTCAAATTCTTTTCCTTTTTTTGCTAAACTAATCAAACTGAGCCCTTAGGCATAATATCTGAAAAATTAATTTCCTGGCACCCAACTCTTTCATTGGGAATGGTAAATTTTCTCGAATGAAAATTATAACATTCCTGCTAACCTAAAACGTGTATATGTAGACTCAAAGAAAAACTTAACTCCAGAAGCCCCAGTAAGCGACGGATTTCATGTAACTTCGTGGACTTTCAATATTTTCTGTTAAGGAAATGAGACGATTTCGGACGTACAAATCAACTTATTTGAAGCGAACTTCGAAAATTACCCACAGTCTTGGGCACCAAATGTAACTCTGGCAAATGGAAAATACTCCAGTAAAGTAGATTAGGTTAAGTAAGCTTGAAAGTTCGCTCAGAGGCCGCTTTGTGATATCCTTGGTATATCCGTAGATCTTCTAATCGAGTTTCCTCTGAGCTGCCTTAGTTCGCAAAGGCGTATTTTCCCATCAATTTGAGGTCATTATTCTTAAGTACGGAGCACTCGCATAAGGATTGCTTTATAGACCTTACGTCTTCTTCATTTCTTTTTCATCTTCTACAGAAATAGTTTTGTAGAGCTCTGGATCTGGGAGCCTGATTACCAATGGTCCAATGTCTACTGAACTGAGTTCTCTGGCGAGAAGTCTAGCTACTGCAGTGATTTTAATTTGTATAACTTTACTTGCTTTTAGTACAGTCTTTTGCAGCCAAGGTCCATTGAAATCGTTAAGATACAAAGTAGCAAGGTCACGAATTTTTCGGAAATGGAGAGCATTACTAGCTTCGCTAAGGCACGTCAATCGGAATGGAACGAATAAGGTGACTAAAAATAGTCCGGAAATGCAGATCAGCGCATCAGGTAGCTCCCTAGATCTATCGATTTGTGATCCACCTAGGAAAAATTACTACTATAGCCCACCCGTAACCAATTACGTACGTACCAACTGAGATGATTTTGAATTCTTAACGTCTTTATTGCCAAGGTTTAAGAAGTACCAAAAAGAGAAACTTTAAAGCCTTAACTAAACCATAAAGAAAGATTTACTAAAGGCTACATCACAAATTACTGTGCTATTAAACCAATGCCTGCATGCTGGCCTAAACCAAAAATGTCCCTCTTTGCAGAAGTGGACGGGACGGAGAGAGCTCGAATCAATTCGCCATTTCCTATTTCCATGTTCAGCTCTTTATACAAGAGAACCCGAGCATTTGGAGTATCACTCTTTCACCACCTTAGCAGAGATTATGGGACCTCAGAAATTCCATTTGGGACAGTGTGTAGTTGCGCAAAATTATTTGTATTTTTTTTTTACAACGTACAAAATACTTTTGTATGGCACATACAGTTGGAGTGATATGTTTGTTCTCTTTTAGTACTCAGGAAATAAGCAATTTTTTATCAAAATGCAATAGGTTAAATATATCGGCTAATATCTAGTGTGCCAACTTTTTTGATCAACGAGTGTTTTTCATATCTGCTTTTCCTCTTTCTATATATTTTTTTTTGCTTTTTCTTTCGATTGCTTTTAGACTCCATTTAAATTTATGCCATTCGAAGGATACATTCAAAACTAATTTTTTTAGTCAAGCATACATAAAACTAAAAAAGCTTGCATTTCATTAATTTAAAAATTAAAAGAAAAAAACTAAAAAATTTAAATAAAAGTGTGACGGTTAAATACATACATAAATAAAAAATAAGAAAATTACAAATGAAGGCACTGTGACAATCTGCAGCCTAAGGGTAAACAAGAATTGGGTAAATTTTTAACACTTTGACACTAATGAAATATGAATGTTTGATGCGCAGCTAAGAAATAATTAAGAAATACAATATTCGTAGAAAAAAATTGTTAATAATAAGAACAAGGCCAGGAAATGTGAAAAGATAATTTTGATTAAACTTCGACAAGTAAGTAGCTTTGAAAATAATGACAGTAAATTATTTATTTAATTGAAATCAACTAATTTTTAAACAAAACAAAAAACAGACAAACCAAAAATGCAGTGAAAGTGAGTAAACTTGAAAGGAGCTTCAACTAAAAGCAAACCTAATGGTTAATGATTGTTGTTAGTAATTGGTAGTTAGTAGTAGAAGAAACTAGCTAGTTGCTTCTTTATTTTCACTAATGAGCGCATCATTTATTTTCTGTACTGTTAATTTTGTTGACTTTAACTTTGTAACGTTTTTCGTTTACTATAACTTCGAATGAGAGACAGAGAGAGACAGCATGCTTGGGAGGGCATTTTTTTTTTTTGTACTAATATGTAAGTAATTGATTATTTATCGTTTTCATTTTATAATAAAAATTTCGTATTCATATTTTTAAAAAAAATTCTGTTTTGTTTTTTTTTTTGCTAAATTATTTATTACGAACTTAAAATTTTTCATAATTTTTGAATGGTTGCATATTTATTCGAAAAAAATATATATATAACTTAAAAAGCTTAATTTTTGAACAGTTCCTTAGGCTTATTTCAAATTATAACTTCTTTCGGGCTAACATTAAAACCAAATATTTAAAAAAAATTAAAACTTAATTCTGTATGATTTCAGTATGCAATTCGTTTTGTTTGGAAATCAAAGTGATTGGAGGACAAATCGATTGGTTTGCGTGATTTAGTTAGGTGAACTACATTTAGCAGCGACATTTTTTGCTTTAAGCGTGAACGAGTTAGATCAATTTGTTTCATATAGGTGAGCAAATATATTTGTGTGGGTAGAAGTTAGAAAATATAGTCAAGTTTAGTAGCTCTAATTTGCTGATTGCAAGTGCAGAAAAAAATTCCAAAAAATATTAGTACAAGTTTTTTACAGTATTAAGTACATAATAATATATATATCTATATATATATATATATAGTAGTTAAGAGATTTAAATTCCAATTTTTAACTATATTACAATTTTGGAATTGCTGATTCGTTATAGTTAGGGTGATTCCATCATTGCGTTTGGAAGCAAGGCAGGTGATTATTAAAGTTATTGGTAAATATTTTTTATTTTTGTTATTTTATGTCAAATTTTAAATTTTAATATTTAGCTGTAAAGATTGATTAAATAATTTATTAGCTGCTAAAATGTTTTATTTTTCAATCAGTAGCCTGCTTAGAGGTATTGGAAGTGGTCATTTTAGTGGTGAACATACAGACAGCTAGCTCATATATATATGTATGTATGTAGCGAAAGGTATCTTAACTCAAATTAAAACAATATTTTTTTTTCTTACAGCCAGTTTCGCGTAGGCAATAAAGTTATATAAAATGAATTTAAAACGTTTTTGTTGCCGATTTAACTTTAAATTAATTTTTGTATCGCCTGGTTTGACGTCTAAAAATTACTTAATTTTTTTTTCTAACGCCCACACTGTAGATGACCTGTCGCGCGTCGCTAAGCTTGGGCGAAAAACCCTTTGAAGCTCTTCAAATTAGCGGCACAGGACAGCATTAAACCTGCCCAGTTGCAAAATACTTAAGAATTGTCGTGTCTTTGGTTGAATTCCAGCGTTGTTCAAGCCTGTATAAGCCAGCACAGAGGTTTGGATGGTCTTTACAACAAATCCCGGAAAAGAGTCTCACATATCTGATAAGGGTTTTTGAACCATACTTTTCTTTTCGTTTTTTTGTTTCAAATGCTAGGAAAATGCATATTAGGGTTAATATTTTCTACATTAATGTTAAGTCGGTGGAGATCACCCCTCACGTTAGCAAAGAGGTCGGCAGAATTGGTAAATAGATTAATACTTCAATGTTGGTGGTAAGATTACCCTGCGACAGAACTGCAAATGCGGAATGAGGAAGCCTCCAGCGTAGAGCAAAAAAAAACGAGTCGTTCTCTATCCTAT